GTGAACAATAACTTGCTTGATTTTACCAAATGTGTGGAAGAGATGATACATATACACATATATGTACTTATGGCAATGAGAGCCAGGGAAGAGAGGGGCTGTGACCCTCACTTTTCATTTTACCCATCTCCTGTTTTGGGAACTGACTGCCAAGGAGTTAGCATTCAGTCATTTCCACTGCCATGCTCTCACCAGAGATGACTTGCGTGCATCCTGGGGAGGAAAATACTTTGCATATGCTACCTTGTCTATTTTCCTGTACACCCATCAGAAGAATGGAAAAAAGTTCTAGGGAAACCCTGTGTTTTCTTCTGAAATAACTAATTTTTTTGTATTAAAATTCAGGTCAGGACTTATTCTGCTGTCAAGAGATGTATACAATACTCAAATTCTCTTCCTTCAGTTAAGGGCAGGAAAATGTTATGACAGTTGCTGTCCTATATGAACAGGTTGGGAACTGTAAAGGCTTTCTACAACATTTTTTAGAAACTAGGCACTGAAGGCTTGAGGGAGAGAATATGTAGTGAGGATGCAAAAGACCATAAAATCTCATAAACCATTCAAACCTTTGGCTGTTCTATGCTCTTTTATTTATTTAAAAAAAACAAAAAAACAAAAAAACAAAAAAAAGCTTAGTTCATAAGTAAACTGAAGTCAGACCTCACTTTCTTCAACATTTTTGTTAAGATTTCATAATCAAGTATTTCAATATAAGCCCTATTTTTTTGAATGTTGATGGGTGTTGTGCCAGTGTCATGAGGTGCAGCAGCAGTTCCTGCCTATGTTACCTCCTCCTTCATGTCTCATTTCCTCAGCTGCCTCTAATTCAGGCTTAAACCTGTGCATGATTTCAGAGGAATGTCTGTTGTCAGTCTCATATGCTGTCTACGTGAATTGTCTTCATTTATGTATGAAGCTTTTATTGCTCTGCCAATTGAAAACACAAAAAAGCCCTAAAGATATCAGTCAAGGTAGCAAAAAAAAGCTTTTGGTGTGGAAAATAGCAAAAATTTAATCTCAGATGACCACATATCACCTGAGGTTTATGGCCAGTTGGCTTAAACAGTGGGTAATCTGGGGATTCAGGTGTGGTCACCTCTTCTCTGGTGATATACTCTGTGGTGCAATTCATCAGGATCTAGTCTCTGCAAATCTTTATTCTGCTCAAAAAAAGGCATAATTTGGACTGATGATCATGAAAAAGACAAGTAAATGTAATTCAAATATATAATGTAGCTCATTAAAAATAAGCTTTAACTCATAATTTTCATACACTGGTTATTTTTTTAGTTGAAATGCAATGCAAGTCATCGCTCTACTTTGTGAATCTTGTTGCTTGTTCTTTATTTTAAAAAATCCCCATAACTCAAATATTTTTGTTCCTGTAGGGCCTGTCATTGTGGGGTGTTACCCATGGCTCGCCTCCTCTCTGCAGCTCAGCACAGGAAGGCTGTCACCTTAGTGGTGTATCTGTCACACAGATGTTGCAGCCTACAAGGGACTTTGACAGGCTTTCATGTTATCTGTGCTCTCTGTGGCCCAGAACCTTTCCACAGGAGCTTATTTCTTATCTGACTTGGAAATTCCACAGCATCAAAGCAAAAAGGCAATCAAAGTTAAAGTCATGCTTTTTGACTTTTGTACATTTTTCATAATTGGTTCAGAAAGTTGTGAAGTATAAAATGGAATAATTACTCTCAGTTAACATTGGGTCAGTCTTGGCATTGTTGTGGGGAAAAAGATGTCAGTATGTGGTCTCTTTGTGTGTTTTAAATAGAAATAGCAAATACGTGGAATTGATTGGATCAGAATGTTTCATGAAAGCTTTTAACTGGAAATCAAGCATTATAAGAAACAAACTTTTCATAGATTTAAATATCCAATTTAAAAATAAAGATATTCTTTAAAATTGTCTAGGGTTCATATATAGTTCTATAATTATAATGTGGTAAACCAGCCATTGCAACTTCTTTTCTGATGGGATTCATTAAATGATTTGTAGAATCAAATTTTAATAATTTTTTAGGCAATTAAAAAAGAGTGTAAAACCATATATATATATAGACATATATACATATACATGCACACACATCAGCTAGATTTTCTACTTGCAGTCATGTCTAGTTAAGCTTAGTGGAAATAACAGAAGTATTTTTTGAAAATTGAGTTTATTACATGAACTAAAATTTTAAATTGTTGAGACCCAGCCTGCAGCTGCTCATTGCTACACTAAAATATTAGTCCTGAGATGACCAGGGCAACCTTGACAGTCAGCAGTGTGAGCATGCCAAAGGCTACTTTGCATAAAAAGAAAACTTCTGAAAGGCATTGTGATACTAAAGAATTTTACATAGTACATGAAAAAATAGTCAATTTTATTAAAATTAAATGAAATAAAAATTATCACCTTAATGTTCTTCCTTAAACAGAGAACAAAACAGAAAAAATCCCAAGCAATGGCGTTTTTGGGAAGATGCTGAAGGAAACAGGATTGTTGCACTGGATTTTTTTCTGGTCCATTATTTCTGTGTGCACATACAGTTTTTTGTATTTTTCTCATGCTGTGTAGGTAAACAGCTGTGTAGAGGAACAGTGAATAATATGACACAAATAAAGGAGCCATTTTTAACTTAGGTCTTCCCCTAAGTTTTTAGAAGAAGAACTGAAGAATAATTTTCTTTAAAAGTACAAAGTGTTTTTCAGTAGAGAGAATAATTACTTACTCTGGAATGTGAGCAGGGCACTGGATACCTGACCTGTAATTTAGGAAAAACAGTGATGTAGTTTTCATCAGTAATTATTATTATTATTACAGTAGAACTGTGGGGCCACAGTTGAGAGCAAGACTCTGTTGTGCTGCTCGCTGTGTATCTAGCAAGACAGAGGTGAGATTCCTGGGTCAACTTTTGTAACCTGTTGCAATTTGTTTGTGTGTAAGAGCATTTTGAGGGACCAGTCCCTTTTACAGGCTGTCCTGTCCAACAGGAATTGGGTACATAGATCTTCCTTAAAAATTTCAGGATTAGAGTATGCAGTATATGAGAACATACATTTTTAGGGCCATAATGTAATGAGTTAATGGTTGTCTGTTTGGTTCACTTTTATGTAATCAAACAAGCATAAGATGCTTCAACCTACAAAGCATTTGCTCGTGAAGTAAATATTTCACTAACAATCTTTTGTGTCAACAGAACATGTTTTATGGGGAAAATCATGGGTGAAGGAATAGAGAATGTGAATAAGACCCTTTAAAAAAAATTGGTCACTGAATTCTCATAGAGAAGAAACCATATGTTAGTTTCAGAAGGCATGAGCGTATTTAAATTTAGTTGCTCTTTTCATACACAGGAGCTTAATTTTGCTAAGAAAATGAATAGTGCTTTGCTGCTTGAAATATGACAGTCTACAAATTTGCTAACAGAAACAGGAAGCAATTCTGCTTCCTAGTAGTATTTTCACCAGAGCTGCTTGATTTCTCTTTGCGGGTTCCAGTGTTCTTTATGATGATGAATCACTGAGTTGGCATTTGACAGTGACTTAGTTGAATTGTTCCCAAAGTAAGTATGTACTTGTTTTTTTGCCCCAGAAATAAGGGGCATATCTAGTGGTTCCATACCACTTCCATGTGTGTTCCTTTACACAGTGACTAATCAAATAGATTTGCACTTTATTCTCCAAGCTCACAGAGGCAATGGGAAATAAAAGAATGTTTGGAATTTGCAATACTATGTGTAGCAGCTCTGCTTCAGTGGGCAAAAATTTATGTGGGGTAATAGAATTGGAAAAAGGGGTAGGGACAATGGAGAGACTGTGATGTGTTGGATTGTGCAGCAGCAGAGGCCCCATCATTACCCATTATACAAGCCTTTCCTCCTGACATCCTGGGACACAGATGAATTTAAAAGGGTGTAGGGAAGAAGGTACATGTTGCAGAACCTTTTCTACCTTGAAAGCCACTGCCATCAAATTACACTTTGGGGCTTTTTGGTTTTACTTCCTTCTTCAGAGTGGTGGCTCAGAAACAATGGGAGGTTCCTGTTCCAGGCATTTTTTGCTCTTGCTTACCACACATTGAGAATGGAAAGCTGAATGTCTGAGCTGGCTGTGTATTTGTACCAGTTTGCAATGGATATGTGCGTAACAGAGATACATATGATTCATGTTGAACTTGTGATACAGACTTGGTCAGAATCTAAAATTATCTGTGAAAATGCCCATGTATATAAAAAACTAATGTTATTTTTATTTGCATCATTACATACAGGAATCTCATTTAGTGCTGCTGCATTGTAAAAGCCTGGTGCACAAATTTGTTTGGGAATGAAGGTCAGGTTTCAAATATATGAAATTCTAGTGGGCATTTGAGAGAACATTCACAAGCCACAGTAATTTGCTTTGTTATTGATTGGTGTTATTAGCATTCCATAATTTTCCTATTTTTAAGAATGATTGTCGTACATTTGGGAAACCAAAATTATACTGTTTACGTTAATTGCTAATGGCTTTTCTGCAGGCTACTGTGTAAAGTATGTTGAACATTAAAAATTAAAAATAGGGAGCTCTATTGTTGTAGTTTTTGTTTGATGTAATCCACATTTTATATTTCAGCTTGTCCTCACTGCTAAGAGATGTTTTATTCTTTATATCCTTTGGATAAGTAAGAGCAATTGTGGTGCTAAAGTGCAATAAAGATTAGGTAAGCACAATGAGGTCAGACAGAAGTTCCACCTGGCATTGAGCTCTACCTTATGGTAAAATCTGAGTCTTCATTGTGCTGTTATTCTCAAATTGCTCTTGCATGCCACCGTGCCTGCTCTTTACAATGCTCTAATCTTGGAACAGTTTATGGGAGTGCTGCTTAGTGACGAAAAATACTGCTTTTTTAGCAGTGAAGGCAAGTCCTTTGTTTCAGCATAGAAAACATGATTTCCATCCACACAAACTTCAAAAGAAACAGTGGGAATTCTTGAGAGCCTGATTATCATGACATAATCACATTATCAGAGAGATTAGAAGCACTTTACTGTGTCCTTATGCTTTAGTGACACCCCAAGGCACTGGACAAAATTTTCACGTGCTGTTAAAATCTTCCTTGTTGGCCACTAAAGCAGGAGAGAGCTATGTAGCTGTGGGCCCTGTAATAAATAGAGAATATATTTAATCCTTCTGTCAGAGAACTGCTCATCCAGCCACAAGCAGAAGATGTAGTTGCTGGTCTTTACTCTCCAGTCTAGATATATTTCTCAGAGCCACCTGCAGCAGATGAAAACGAAAGCCTCCTAAAATGCTAATTCCCATCAGTTCCAGTCACTGTGAAAAACTGTCATTAACCAGGCAATCAAGCTAATGGAATACAAAAGTATTAGCAATTCAAACAAATGAGGAATTCACAGTGTGATTTCTCTACAAACTTGGTGAGCTCTTGGATACCATTTCTTTTGTGAGAGGTAAGTAAGACTGTAAGTGTAAAGTGCCCATTTTTAGGTTATGCCTCAGCACTGTTGTGTTGCCTTGAGGTAAACAGACCACAATCCATGCTTTGTAAGTGAATAACTGCCTGAAAGTCTCTGAATTGCTTGTGATTATGGGAAATTCAGTCTCAGCTTTAACTTTTTCAAGTGAGAGCAAAGCACGTGATTTTTAACATGTTTCTTGTGTATGGTTGCCAAGGACTACTGAAGATTTGGGGATTAATGTTCTGATTATATAGTTTCCAATATAAAGGATTACATTGATAATTAGCCCAGGGTGAAGAAAGCTAAAAATAATCAACATACTCAAAATAATCAACAATAATCGTAAAAGTCTTTTCAGATGTGAGTCTGTGCCTCTGGAATGAACACTATGGGCAATGTCTAGACAGAAAAGGTATGAAATATCAAACATGCACTTGACCTCAGTTAAAAGGCCAGGATGAAACAATCACCACAGAAAGAGTGATATGGGAATATTGCAGTTAAAACTGTTCCTGAACAGCGAAGACACATGGAACATGGGAAAAAATATTTTAGCCTAAACAGGTACTAAAAATTATCCTGGAAAAATAATTTTTAACATCAGGTACAGTTTGTTTCACTGTGCTTGATTTTGAACATATAACAATGCATTTTTAAATTAACAGTAAAAGTCTTTTACCTGCCAAACCACGGAGTCAGGGCTTTGTATGTCTCCAGCTGAGATTACTAAAACACTTGCATCAGGGAGCTGCATTCCTTCCACTCTTTTACTGAGTTAGGGAAGTAGAAGGGCAACACACTTCTATGAACATGAGAATTAAAAGGAAAGGGAATTATGTGGTGGGATTATTAAGGTATGGGAATTTTTTAACTTCCTCCTCCATTCTATTTTACTGTATATCTTGATTCTTTGTGCAGGTAACTTTGTGTAATCCACGGATTATCTTGCCAGTAGAAAATATAGCCATAAACTGCATTTTCTGCTAGTACTTTGGGACCTCAGACTGGTCTCTATCGTGTTCTTGATGTTAACGTTAAGGCTGAGCGGTTCCGGGCGCTCGAGGGGCAGCTCCCGGGCCAGGACCCCCTCGGGGGTTGCGCCATCTGCCGGCAGCGCCCGGCACTGCACCCGCGGCACCCCGCGGAGCGCGCTGCTTCTGCCTGCGCTTGACAGCTTCCAGGTAAAGGGGTTTTCTTACTGCAACCCCGGGCACTGAGGTGCTGGGGCGTGCCAAGGGAAGGACAGCAAAGCGTCTGAAGGGTCTGGAGCACAAATCTGATGAGAAGCGGCTGATGGAGCTGGGCTTGTTTAGCCTGGAGAGAAGGTAGCTCCGTAGGGACCTTATCGCTTTCTGAAAGGAGGTTGTGGTGAGGTGGGGATCAGCCTCTTCTGGGCAACCAGCGTTTGCACAAGGGGAAATAGCTTCAAGTTGTGCTAGGGGAGACTCTGGTTGGATATTAGGAAAAACATCTTCACTGCAAGAATGGTTAAGAACATAGTGGAGTCACCATACCTGGAATTGTTCAAAAAATGAATGGATGTGGCACTTGTCAATATAGTTTAGTGCGCATGATAGGATTCAGTAGAAGGCTGGACTTGATCTTGGAGGAATTTTCCAACCTTAATGATTCAGCATATCATCACCAGTCAGTTGAGGGAGGTGGTTGTCCTTCTCTACTCTGTGCTGGTGTGGCCCCATCTCAAGTCCGTCATGCAGTTTTGGATAGTCTGTCTGAGAATGAACAGGTAAAACTTTAGGATGTCCTAACTACCCAGAGATGCATCAAATTGCATTAAAAATTGAGTTGGAAAGAGTAATTACAAAGGAGTTTGTGGACACGATGCATTGACTTGTTTTTTAATGTCTATTAGGGTCGACCAGGACTGATTGGGCTTCAAGGGCCAATAGGACCACCGGGATTTACTGGCCCAGAAGGTTTGCCTGGAGCAAAAGGTGAGAGAGGAGCAGTGGGCCCTCCTGGACCAGCTGGACAGAAAGGTGACAAGGTAGGCTCAACAGTGACTTTTCTGTCCTTGCAATAGTTATATGGCCTTGTATATATTTTTGAGTGAATAAAGATAATCTTGGGCTATATGTCCAGGGATAAAAATACAATTTCAGCCATATCTTTAGAGAGCTGTCTGCATTTATTTTTGAATGAGAATACAGATGCTCAAGCTGCTGAACAGTGTAGCCATCCTGGTAGGTGAACTACAGGCAAATGAGTATTGCTATTGCAATATTGCACTTCATATGCCCAGCAGTAAATGGCTATTATTCACACTCTGTTCAGGAAGACATGGGGCTAGTTCTTGTGTAGAAGATCCTGAGTTGGTGTCTAGAAAAACAAAAAGAATGGTACTAAACAAAATCTGCAGTTCAGTTTTACAGGTGCAAAGTTATTTCTAACAAAAATAATACAATAAACTATGTCATAATAAATGGAGTAGCCCATAAGGTGTAGGTGTCAATGAATGCAATGTGCAAGATTGGAAATAATTCCTTTGCACTGAAAAAAATCCATTTACTCCAGAACAGCTTCTATCCCCTGAAATGATACATATGCAATACCAACATGCCATAAGATTCTCTCTCTCTTCATCCCTTGTGGGAGAAATATATTTTAGTTTTCCAAAGCAAGAACAATTTAGGCTGGGTATTCTGCTTACACAGTCTGTTTTGCTACTATTCAGAGCAGAGCAACAAGGTGTGGTAATTACTTGCAGCTTTGGCAATCTGAAGTTAATGCAGCTGTCTCCATATCTCTGGGTATCCTATCCAAGTATAGACAGAAAAATATGTAAGTTTGTTGAAACTCATGGAAAGACATGGGTTAAGTTTATAGCAGATTGTTTATTTTCCTGGCATCTTGTTTTCCCCAGATATGCAGCAGGAGTTTATATTTTTGCCTTAAATTGCCTGATTAAAACATTCCTGAAACACTCATTTGGTATCCAGTCAAGCTCAGATGCTCAGTTCCTCTGTTCACTGACCCCTGTGGTCAGAGAGAATCTGCATGAGATAGTTTGCTCCTTTAGGTTTTGAAAGCAGAAGTCCAAGACTGAAAGTGTTGGAGTGAAAAATATCTCACAGGTAACTGAAATATAGACTGATGAAGAGAAATATAATGTGTACTCTTTTTCTTCAGGGTCCAATGGGAGTTCCAGGATTTCAGGGCATCAATGGGATCCCAGTAAGTTTGCGTATGTAAATATAAATCACCAGAATAGTAACCACAACTAAAAGCACCTGAACATGATTAGATTGTCCTAGCACATGCATAGTCTACCTTGCAATTTCTTGCTTCTATCTGGAGGAAAATGGCTGTTTGTTAATCTACCTGGTAATTCGATGCTGTTTTGTAAGACAATAGGAAGTTGATACATATAGGATAATAGGAAGTTGAGACATATCAGAAAGTGAGCCTGAGTTACATGGGGATTGTTTGCACGATTAGCTTTTTTTTCAGCACCATGTTCCCTCAGCACTGCCTAAAAAACACTGTATTGTAAAATCATAGACTTGTAGAATTTAAAGGGACCTCAGGGAGTCAAACAGGCATGATCAGCTGCGATTCAGGCCATTTTTAACATGTGTTTCCTAACAAATTCTTAAAACCTTGTGATGATGGAGACTAATTTCTCTATTAGAAAAGCTTTTCTAATGCCTAACTTCAATCTTTCTTTCTGCATGTTAAAAAGTCTTTTTTAAAAGTTTTTTTTAGTCTTAGTTCTCATGTTACTGATCAGGGACACAGAGAGAAGATTGTTCCACTTTTACTTTGCAGTAGCCTTCTTGCATGTGATAGCTGTTTCCAGGTCTCCCTCAATCTTTTGTTATGACATGAATGAAAACAGCGATGAGAGCTGAGGCCCTCCAAATAACTCTTGATTCTCTTCTAGGTTTAGATCAGGTGACAGGCAGGTAGACACTTTCACTGACCATGAGAAACTTTTTGTTTCTTTCATTCTTTAGAATTTTACATTCTAGAGACAGTTTAAAAAAATTATGTGCCTAGAGTGTTTTGGTCAGCTTTCTTTTGCTTTGGTTTCACCAGTGATTTTTGCAAAAGTATCTTGCTGTATCTCAGGGGAACTTTAACTGGATCAGCTTTAAAATTGCCCCAAAAACTTCCTTGGTCTTTCTACACTATTTGGTTTATCCTGCTTCCTCCTTCTGATATTAGAATATTTTTATTTTCTTGATGACATTTTTCCATCCTGTGTGTCATCGTGCCTTCAGACTATGCTTATAATCTTTCTCATCTTCCCTGGTTTCTCAGATGGCCAGGAGCTCCAACAATTGAGCTGTGTTTTCTTACTTGCTATCAAAAACTGAATTGTAGTGATAGATTGGCTGAAAATGCACAGTTTGCTTTGTAAATGAACTTGTTTGATTCCAGTTCCTTCCTGGCCCTTGTCTTTGGTCCCCCTCTGCTCACCCTTGTCTGTTTTTTCTGCTCTACTCCCTTGCTGCTATATTTTTTTTTTTTCTTTTACCATCAGCCAGCTGTCTAGGTCTGAAGAGAACAAGCTGTTCCTATGGTACTTAATTTAATTGAGCACACTGTGAGAACATGCTGTTCTCAGGGTATTTTTTCAGATAAAGCTCTGGAGAAAGGGGATTCCCAGCAATGAGGGGAGGTAGAGATAGAGCAACAGCCATTGCCAGGTAGCTGGCAACATCAGGCATTCCAAGGAGAGAGTAGGGGAGGCAGATGAGAGGATTCGAAGCCTCCAGCATATGCAGATCTACTCTGCTTTGCAACATTTTGCAGATGGGTGAATGGCAAAGAGGTGGATTTTGCTGGTCATGAATAGCAAAGTGCTCAGCACTGTGTGTCCTCTGTGCCACAACTGCAGGGCAGAAAAAGAGGAAAGAAAAACTTGTTCTTACTGTTTACATTATAACCACTGAGATAAATGCTTCCATTATAGGGTGAAAATAGCAACTGGCATTGCTTGAGTAAATATTTTTGGTTTTGCCATTACTTTTCAGGGTAAGGGAGTAACTTAGATTCTTTGTGAAGTGTATACAAATATAGGCACTTTGTATGGATGTGTGAAATACAGAACAAAGGAGAGAGCACATTTGTGTGAAAAAGATGGGAGAAGTAAAAATATATTGCTATCTCTGCACATCCAAATATGAAGAGAGATTCTTTGTAGTATGCAGGCATGTTAGTATGGGCAGGTGTAGTTTAGTCGTGGCCATGGGCAAGGCTGTTATTCAGAGGGGTGTCCCACTGCTGACCTTAAGAGAAGTGGTATTCCACAGAGTTTGCTTGGTGGGGTGCTGGTGGCAAGTAAATCATGTTGTTGCAGCTGGCCTGACTAATCCCTTTAATTTAGTAAATACAGCATCTACATGTGTTTATTACTAGACTTTCATATCATGCTATAGGAGAAGCCCTCAAATCCTTAGCCCTACTTGGGAAGATTATTTTTTCCTATAGGACAAGATTCAAGGACACCTCTGGCAAAGGGTGGAACTGAAGCTGGGAGATGTACATAGCTTTTCATGAACTGTCCAAGGAGTTCTAGAAGGAAATATTTTTATAAGTGAGACCTTGTCTGTGCAATGAAAGCCAGAGCTATATGAAGGGGCAGTTTTATGACCTTCCTAGAGTAAATGCAAGCACTTGGCAATGGCTGTAGAAAGGCCACTTACCTTAGCAATCCATGAAACTGTTTATTCATTTAGTTTTGTATTAATCCTTAATTGATTTGTTTCTCTGTTTTTAATTATTCGTCAATCTCTCCTGTTGGGATTGCCTTTTTGCTGTTTGATTTTGAAAAGAGGTCCCTTGGGATCACAGTGGCAGTGTATAAGCAAGTCTGATAAAGGAGGGCCCAGATAACCAGTTTCCTTATCTGTCTCACAACAAATGCTTCCTTTTGTGAGTACAGAGAGCACAAGCATCTCTCCAGCCTGTGTTTTAATTCAGATCTGTAAACTAATCACCCTGAAATGTATAAGTAAAGTCTGTGAAAGTCTTCTGCCTTAGTCAATTGAGGTGCTTGTGTTCAATTGGTACATCTGCCAAAACAGGAAT